GTAATCGCATATGCGCAAAGCGGTGCTCTCAGACGCGACACGGGGCTCACATGTCGCTGCGGTGCCGTGATACAATGTGCAAAGCTCTGCTTCGCCAAGCACTTTGAATTACTTCATACGTTACTGCTCCGTCGAGCTCTACCCGCCCGCTCACCAATTTGCCAATGTGCTCAGCGCAGTATGATATGTCACAGTACTACGTCGTCAAAATCCCTCATGTTTAGTGATTGCTGCAGATGGGCATTGACACTCAAATAGGCGTTGACATTCAAGTTTCCCGAGCCACTGCTGCGAACGCTTCACGGTTTTGTCTTGTCTTGTGGCGTGAGGCAGACCTGTGCCTGGTCCTTTCATTGCCAGCGCGAACGCTCGAGGTGGCAATATATGATGGCCGAAATTGCAACCTGTGTGTCAGAATCGGAAGCGCCCACTTGGGCAATTAGTTACACGATCTCCTGAAGCGGCGTTGGCCCCCCTCTAGAATTATGTCATGTATTGAATGGCACTGTGCAACTGGAAAGGGACGATCACAACTGGTTGCGGTCGGTGCCAAGTAGTTCAGAGCGGTCCAATGTGGTTGCGAGTGGGCGCCATCCAGAGGGAGGGGAGGAGGGAGGGGAGTGAGATGCGGAAGGAGGAGTGGAAGGAGGGAGGAGGCAGGACGAGAAGAAAGAGTTGAAGGAGAGAGGAGATGAGGGACCAGAAAGGGAGGTATGAGAAGGAGGATGAATGGGAATAGGAGGCAGGGAGAAGGAGGAAGGAGGGATAGAGAAGGCGGAATCGACGCCTAGACGTCTGAGCGCACGTGGAAACGGAAAGACTGGAAAGGGCAGGAAGGATGAGAAAGCGGATACGGATGACGAGAAGGGGGACGCAAGATGCTGGATGGGCAGGGGGACTGAAGATAGTGCGTGCGCGCGCGTGTGTGTGTATGTGTGCGTGTGCGTGCTTTTGTTGACAATTTATATATGTTAAAGGGGAAGGGGGCTCCCGGAGGGGGTGAGACGGGAAGAGAAGAGCTGAGTGGAGAGGGAAGGGCAGATGAAACAAGGGGAGGATGAGATGACGGCGCGGTCCATCTTCACGACGGCGGTGGACACCCGGTCGGGATCCTCACGGGCCGCCGCCATAACCCCCGCTGAGAACTCCTCCGCATCCTCCTTCTTCTCCTCATCTTTCTCCTACTCCTCTCTCCCCCTTCTCGCCGTCTTCCGTCTCCTCCTCATCCTCATCTCCTCCAGGATGCTTCTGCTCCCCGTCCTCCTTATGCTCCAGCTCCTTCTTCTGGCTCCTCCCTCGTTCTTCTTATTTACCTCTTCCTTCCACCTCCTTTTCCTCTCGTCGCACCCCGACGCAGGAGAAGGAGTAGAGCACAAGGAGGCGCATCACGACGGATGCTGCGCTCTAAGGGCCTCCTCGCAGAAAAAATGGGAGCGGACGCTGGATGCGCTTCGGAACGACACGGGTGCGGCCGCGAGGGTATGCGAGGGTCGAAATGTGTCAGCCGACTCCTTTCTCCTCCCTCCTCCTGGCACCGACGGCGACGACAAGTGGGACCGCGATTAAGTGAGCGACTACGCCGACGATGGCGGCGACGACGCCGACGGCGACGGCGACGACGGCGACAGCGACAACGGCAGAGACCACGATAACGATGGTGGCAGTTGCCAAGATGACAGCGACGGCGAATGGACGACGTCAGCGATGACGATTGGCATGAAGGAATGATGGGAGAAAGCTCCTGAATCCTACGGGAACACGGGTGGAGGACTGTGGGGTACTCCCAGGGACCAGATTTTCATCTGGAACGGCCCCAGGGACCGAGAGAGGCCCATGGAGGACGCAACGGACCCTTCCCCAAGGCCGCCTTTTCATCTGTGTGACGGTCCCTGGGCCCGGGACCCCAGAGGCAGCAGGCTGGCAAAAACCTTCCCCCTGTGTCTTGTTGTTCACAGACGTTGGACTTCTGGGGAACCCCTCCTCCCCATGATGGCGAGGCGAACCAGGAGACGAGCGGGCAAACTGTCTCTGCGGGCGGCGCACTGCAAGGCACGCAGGAGAGGAGGCTCCGGGTTGCCCGGGCCGTTCTTGCCCAACCAGATGACCTCGCCGGGTGCAGCGCGCCAGCCGCTCCGCAGCGCCGAGGCGTCTCACAGCCCAGGAGGTGCTGCATGCTCAGCATGAGAGAAGCGTGCCCTGCAGGACACTGCACGATCCTGCGTGTTTGTCGTAATTTTCGGACCCTTCGGGCCCTCCACGCGCCCAAAAGCCGTCAGAGAACGACACGGGATGAAGAACTGGTCCTTGGGAAAACCTCGGAATCTCGGACCTGTCTCCCTCAAGACCCCATTCCTTCATGGCGATCAGCGCGCCTCTGCTTGAGATCCTTTTGGGAACGGCGCCTAGAGTCGGCTGCACGCCTTTAAGAAGAGCGCGTGGGGGCGAAACCCAGGCGCGCAAACCGCTGCTATTGCATCGCGATCAGCTATCGGGAGACCCCACGTGGGCCTGACCAGAGGTGTCTGTCTCTCCAGCGAATGACCACTCTTACGCGTAGTCGGGTTGACCGGCCCGGATCGCCCAGGACGGCGGCCGAGACCGAGGGCAATCCCTTTGACTGGCCAAGCCTGGCGAGAACTCCGCTCTGACGCGTCGGGCCGGGGATGGGCAAAGCGCTGCCGCCTGTGGCCCAGAAGCCAGCGCACTTTTTTTCAGTCCGCGGGCGCCAAGCGGTCCACGACAGCCCGACGCCGGTCGGCAAGCGGCGGGGTGCACCGGGAGCAAAATGGAGGCACGAAAGCGGCGAGGAGCCGAGCGCGACGAGGGAATCGAAGAGGGAGGAGCCCGCTCGGACCATGGCGGCCGGCGCGGGGATGCCGCAGCAGATCCTGCATGCAGCGCAGCAGCGCACACGCGAGGCCAGCCGCCCCTCTGCAGGCGCCGCCGCCCGTGCCCAGGGGGCCCGGGCAATGCACGCGCGGGGCCGCCCGCCGGGTGCACGTGGGCGGCCTGGCCTGGGCGGCTACGGCCAGGGGGGCACGCGGGTGGGAGAGGCCCCGGGCTTGGCGGTGCGCAGAAGGGGGCGCGGGGCGGGGGGAGGGCTTCATCTTAGAGGGAGGCTACTGCTCGGAGGGCGCCGGCCTTGCATCCACAGAGGAGGCCCGCGCTTCTCGGGAGCAGGCCGACAGGCCACCTTGCCCTGCGAGCGCAAACATCGAGACGGGAAACTTTGGGCCGTTTCGGGCATTGTGGTGGCCCCATACTGTTTTTTCGATCCACGGCTCCTTCCCCAGAGGTAGCCTTTCACCAAAAATCCAGATTCGATGGTCCTTGGACCGAACGCAGCCCCCCTGGAGGCCGAAATGAAGGAACCCGCCGCGATTGAAAAGTTCATACCAGGGAAGGTCTGGGGCACTTACGAAGTCCTCGGCGCGCGCAAGCTCCGCCAACGCGCTAACCGGCGCACCGGACAGCGGCAGCGACCGTCGACGACGCCTCGAGGCAGCGGGCACCGCGTGGCTCTCTGCAGGGCCCCGCGGGCGCCGCGACGGTCAACACACGGCAGCGGGTCCCGGGGAAGGTGTGGAGACATCACGTTGCGAAACATCGATGTGCTTTTCCGTGGCGCTGGTGGTCGCTCAGCGCGGGTTGGGCTCAGGTTGGGTCGCGAAGCGGCGCATACACACCAAGTCCGGCGGGGGGAGGCGAGGACGGCCGCGGAGAGGGAGCTGCTGGGAGCTGCGGGCGAGGCGCAAGGGGGCTTTGGGGCGTAGGGGGTCAGTTGGTCCGAGGCGTAAAGCGGGGAAGCCTTGACCCTCTCTGGCCCGCGCCACCCCAGAAGAAACGCCAGGGTCGGAGCTGGGCGGAGAAGCCTTGATCCCCCGCCGGCGCCTTCACCGCCTCGGGACCGAGGAGCCAGGGTGAGCGCCGGCAGTCGTCGCCCGCAGGCGGCCCGAAGAGTGGGCGGCGGGCGCGCTGCAGAGCACGCTGGTCCTACTGAAGCGCCAGGGGATGGCAGTGACACAGCTGCTACGGTCCTTACCCAGCGTGTGCGTTCGCGTGGGAATGGGCAGTCTGTGCCGGCGGCGTCTGGACGGATGGCAACGGGAACACAAAGGGTTTTGGGGTCCTTCCCGGGCCGCAAGTGTGGCCGAGATCGGGGCGTTCACGCACCCGAAGCGCCGACCGCAGCAACCGTGACAAGATGGCTGAGCCGACATGTCCGCCCGTGCCCAGATGTACAGTAGGGGCGTTGACCTAAGGAACCCTGAATAAGGAACGAGGTCCTTTTTTTCTGCATAAATTTAACTTCGATTTCATATCGAAAACCTACGGAAAACCTGAGGCAAGCTGCGAAACAATTAAGGAACACGGAGCCCCTCCCCAATGGAAAGGGTTCCTTCTTCAGGGCCCCGACTGTACTGGGTGGATAAAGGGGCAGGGGGGATCGACAGGACCTCAGAGAGCTGCGAAAGGAGGGACGTGGTGTCCACCACAACTGAAGGAGACAACGGAGCGAGAAGTCGGTCGTCGAGTAGAGACGATGGGGGGATGACGAGGACGCTAAGACAATGAAGCGTTAAACGCCTGCAACTCCACATCGCCGCACGTAAAGGAAGGCCAACTGTTTTATGCCTGATGCCCGCTGCGCACGCACGCAACTGATGCGATATATAAGTGAGATGGGCCTGCGAGGATGGTGGCCGAGTGCGAAGCGACCGTGCCGTTCGAAGTGCTGCATCGGAGTTTTAAATGTGTCCCAGTGCCTGTGATGATGGCGTGTCTTCCTGTGTGAAATTGAAGCACGGTGGTATCGAGGCCAGGGATCAGTTATCTGCCACGCGCAGCGCCACCCTATTCTGAGCACGTGGTGATCACACATCTGCTCTTTCCACTGATCACTGTCTCGTGACGAGCACCATGTAAGCGCTCGCATTCACCATCTGCGAATACAAAGCTATTACATGAGCACGGCATGTATCCACCTTCCCCCTCGTGAATCCTGCTCTCCCTTCTCCTTCTCGTTTCACCCTCCTGCCCTTCGTCCTGGAGCCACCGAAAGCCTTCCAAGACCGACAGAAAGCCTCGAGAACCTCCGCCCCTGAATGCGACCGAAAACCCAGAGAAACATCCCAAGAGCTCTGGAGCATCTTCGCGGCGTGGCGCGACGAGTCTGCCGCGCCACCCAATGTGCTTTGGCCACGTCGCGAATAATACATACATACATACATATATTTATCATACATATAGACGTATATGTATGTATATATATATATATATAAGAGAGAGAGAGAGAGAGAGAGAGATAGAGAAAGAAAGAAAGAGAGAGAGAGAGAGCGAAAGAGAGAGAGAGAGAGAGAAAAACACACAAAGAAAACATAGAGAGAGAGAGAGAGCGATAGAGCAGCTTCGCCGCGCCCTGGCCGCCCCCCTCCTGCTCCACACCTTCTCCTCCTCCTCCTCCTCCTCCTCCTCCTCATCCTCTTCCTTCTCCTCCTCCTCCTCCTCCTCCTCCTCCTCGCCCCCCTCCGACGACGAAGACGACGACCTGGTCCTCCCAGCCTTCCCTTTGCAGCTGGCTCGCATGCCCGACCTTGCCCTCGTCCGGCCCCAACGCCCTGTGAGAGCCCCCATGGAGCCCCACCGAATCCCGCCGAGGACTCCTTCCCTTCTTCTTATTCTTCTTCCTCTGGCGACGACGGCGACGGCGGTGACGACGATAACGACGGCGGAAAGGATTGACGACGGCGACGGCGGCGGCGACGATCGACGACAGCGATGACGACGTCGGCGACGACGATCTCCGACGGCGGCGTTAGTCCACGACGACGACGAATGAGGAGGAGGAGGAGGAGGAGAGGTGTCGAGGGTTGTAGAAGCAGGCGTGGGTGAGTGGGACTACGTTGCAAGCCTGGCTGCGGTGGCCCTCTGCGAGGGAGGGCGGGCGGGCTCCTCGGCCGTGCCAGAAGCATGTCAAACAGGGAGGAGGCCAGGGATGGGGGAGGGGGAGCAAGGCGGGAGGAGGGGGAAGGGGTGGGGGAGGGTGCGGAAGGAAGGCGGGAGGAGACAGAAGGCGGAGAGGGGCGGAGGGAAAACGAAACAGAAGGTGCTCCCCCCTCGGGCTCGCCTGCCCGATCTTGCCCTTGTCCGGTCCCCGCGTGACCAGCACCTGCTGTGGCTCGGCGCCGCCGCGGTTCGCCCAGCGGCCGGCTGCGACGCGCAGGGGCCCCGTTGCAGCCGGAAGCCCTCTGACCACGACGACCACCACGACGACGACGACGACGGCCCTGGCAGCAGCGACGGCAACGACGACGATGACGACGGCGAAGGGGGGGAGGCGTGGGAGGAAAAGAAGGATGAGGACGGAGGAGGAATGAGAAGGGGGAGGAGGAGGCTGAGGGACGAGGGGCGTGGGACGGAGAGGGAGGAGGCGGAGGAAGAGGAGGAGGAGGAGGAGGAGGAGGAGAAGGAGGAAGGGGAAGAGGCGGGAGAAGGGAGGAGGAGGCGGAGGTTCGCTCGCCCTCGCCCATCTATGTCCACTCGATCTTACTTCCGCAGAACCTGGGGGGTACTACTTAGAAACCTTCTAAGCATCCCCCTCTGATTGCTAGCTCTAGGAGCCACACGCGAAGGCAGATACAGCCACTCATTGCTAGCGCGGGGGCCTGGTCTTTGAACACGACAGGGCAGTCCATCAACGATGTTGCAATAAATCATCCCTCCAAATTCCCTCTTAATAGGTCCCTACAAAAACTAAGTTCCACGGCGGGAAATGCCCAGTTGGAAGACAAACGTTTGAAAATCTGGAAGCGTGTAAAGACACCCTGCCTGGGACTTCAACCCCGCGAATCAACGCTACTGTTGCGTCCCGATGATCCTGGAACGTGCCAGACATCAACGCCGCGAATCAACGTTACTGTTGCGCCCTGACAGTCCTACATCGTTCCAAAGCACCATATCTAGGACGTCGACCCTATTAATCCTCGAAGCTGCTGTAAACTCTTGGGGCGCATGTGCGCGGCGCTACGGCAAGAACAACATAATGAAAAAGTGCCGCCTCCATCCGTGAAACTCTTGCAAACTTTGAAAGTACACATGCACGGAACCAAAATGAGAACCACATGTTGAAAACGGCCCGCCCTTCATCCGTGAAACTCCTGCGAACTTCTACCACGAATGTGCAAAACGCCAAATGGATAACGACATTTTGAACATGGCCCGCCCTCCATCCGTGAAACTCTTGCCATTTGTTAAGACGAATGTGCGCGATGCTAAAACGATTGCCACATGTTGAACACCACTCGCCCTCCATCCGTGAAACCATTGCAACTGCTGAGCTTAAGGATCAAAAACTGTGAGGAGTCTCGGGCGAAACGCCTGGCCTGTCCTACCGACACGTCTCGGGGCGTGAAAAAGGAAAAAGGAGAAGAAAGGGAGGGGGGGAGAGGGAAACGGGGAATGGGGGCGAAGAAGGAGGGCGAGTGGGGCTTGACAAAGAGC